AAGTCGGTATTTATTAGTTTAATTTAATCTACAAGTTAATATTGTTAGTTATTCTGCAATAAATAATCATATTGTTAATTCGACTATGCGATCACGTCCGCGACATATTGAAACAGAGAAGCAAGAATTTGACACTTTGGTAACTAATTATTCACTAAGTTATTAATAAATAAAAAATTTATAATTTTTTTAAACAATTAAAATTGCATTATTAGATAGCGAGTCAATCGTACATATCTGTAAAATTAATGATTATGAATGTCACTAATTTGCTGATTTTTAAATGGCTAAAAAAGAAATTTGCAAATTCGTTTTTTAATTATTATTCGAAATTAGATTGCTATATTAATCGTTTTTAATTTGAATAACGTTCTGCTAATTACAAGCGATTTTTTTATGTAAAAATTTTCCGTAAATTTATTGTAAAATTGGCGTAATTTGATTATTGAATTGTATTACTTATAACTCTAAAAGGCGATTTTTCCTCGAGAAGCGATTTATGTTAAAAAATTCGTTATTTCATATTTAATTTTTTAAATCATAAAATTGCAATTTCGATCGAGCCATTTTGCAACAAAATATACGCAAAGTTTGTATCAATTTCAAAAATATCGTTGTAGGGGCTACCAAGCGTAGAAAGGAGCCCATTTCGCAAGTATAAATTCGCTCATCTCTGCGGCAAGAGGATTCACTATCCTACCTTGCTTAGCAGCTCGAGCACTGTTAGAGAAATAAAGCCTCAACAATTTCCTGAGATAAATTTCTTATTCAGTGGTTAGCCTGCTAAACTCCTATCCTACAGATATCTAAGTGCTCAACTCATGAGACTATCTCTCTCATGAGAAAAAAGCAGCCTTAGATATCTTCCTACCTAAAATACATTTGCTGTTGAGAAATTAAGTTGAGTAGTGGTTGCGGCGCTGTCGGGCCTCTCCCCGATAGATGCGATCACTCTCAATTGCATTTCAAGATAATTCATCGAGTTAGAAAGCCTTGTGGTTTGCTACTCGAAAGATTTTAATATATTATTTAGGTTACACGCGTGTCAACTTCTTGCTTTTCTCCGAGACGCGATTGCGAATTCAATACAAAGAGTCCGAACTATTGTTTTGATAACGCGAGATAGACTCAAATGTTACAGTACACTCGTCGCATTGTTTTCAACCGTTATTTTGTCTCATCGAATCGGTGTCTTTGAGTGGTTTTTTTAGTTTTGGAAACAGCCAAAAGTCACAAAAGGCTATGTCAGGACTGTATGGAGGTTATCGAAGCCATGCGATATTGTGTTTGCTCAAAAACTGCTGCACAACATTGGATGAATGCGCTGGCGCATTATCGTGATGGAGAAGCCAGTCACCACTTTTCCAAAAGTGCGGCCGTTTTCTTCTTACTGCATCACGCAAACGTTTCACAATTTGAACGTAGTATTCTTTATTGATTGTCTGACCTGTTGGTGCATATTGGTGATGTACAACACCTTCACAATCGAAAAAAACAATCAACATTGACTTAACATTGCTCCGACTTTGACGTTCTTTTTTTGGTCTTGGCAATTCAGAATGCTTCCACTGTGAAGATTGTTGTTTTATTTCAGGATCATAACCATAAACCCATGATTCATCACCTGTAATAACTTTTCGAAGCACATTATCATCATTAATGACCATTTCCAGATTCTCTAGAGCGATTTCTAAGCGAATGTTCTTCTGCTCTGCTGTGAGCAATTTTGGGATGAATTTCACACACGCGTTTCATTCCTAAATTTTCGGTTAAAATTTCTGAAATGATAGTTTTTGGTATCCCAAGGTCTTTTTCTAGTTCTCGCACAGTCATACCACGATCTTGTTCGATTGCAAGTCGCATCCGCTCAATATTATCTGCGGTTTTTGTCGTCGAAGGTCGGCCGGAACGAGAATCACTATCGACAGAAGTGCGACCATCCTTGGACCATTTATACCATTCTTTTATTCATGTTTTGCTCATACACTCGCTTCCGAAAGCCTTTTGCATCATTTGAATAGTTTCCGAACTCGTTTTTCCGAGTTGAAAGCAAAATTTGATGCAAATTCGTTGATCTTGTTTTTCAGTAATTTTTGATAATATCAAAATCCGACGAACGCGAAAACGGCACTGTAAACAAAGACACGCTGCATTTGAACTATACGTCCGGCAGGGATCAGTAAGTAACCAATATATTCGTGAGGCTTTACTGTTGATGTTTCTGTCCGGTAGAGGTCGCTCGAACACTATGGCGCGAAGATATAAACATAGGCCCGATACTTTCCGGACAAACCTCGTATATACCATGCGGCTTGTTTGCGTTACTTATTGTCATTATGGTCTAAACATAAGCACTTGGAATATGAACTCGTGTTGATATAGTCATGTAATCTACAATTCTGGTAACCAATAACTAATCTATTTTAATGTTTTTTTATATGTTTATTTTTAATAGTGTTACTTTCATTATTGTATTAATTGTTTTTTCTCTGACCTTTGAAGAAATATTAATTATTTTGCATTTATCATTAATATTGTATAACGAGCGGCCAGACCCTCGTTATGTCTCTCTCTCCCCGTACATAATTATAATTATTCCTATATATATAATTATCTTATAATTATCTCACTTGTATGGCAGCTAAAGGTAAGTCAGAGAGAGCGCTAATAGAGGGCGATCTAGGGAGAGAGAATTCGGGAGGCCGGCGCGACGCGCGCGAGTAAGAGAGTGGGGCAGGACAAAGCCCCACGATAAGGACTCTCTCTTGTACCGGCGACTTCGAAGCACGTGGACGTGTGACGAGCGGCTATACACGTGCTTTTGATCTTTTGCTGTCCGACTTTTCGCGACCAACTTTTGTGACTGACATTTCGGTTGCCTGCGAATACGCGAGTGTCCACTCGATGTAAGGTTTCGGTGCCGAGATTGCCCCTAGTGCCTTTGGTGGGCTAGTTCCTGCGACCACGCGTGCGAGCCTTTAAGGCCGCCCGCCTCTTGACTGCACCCGAGCTGCACACTGCGCGTCATCGCGAGCCACGTGCGAGGCTGAGGATATCTCCTGCAGGGCTAACGCCGAGACATTATTGTAAGTACCATCTCGAATACGTGCCTCTCTCGCTAGCTTTTCACCGCTCTCTCTCCCGCTTACGCTGCGTATTAATTTTGTATTATTCTCCGTAGTAAACTCGATGTTATTCGTATATCTGTTTTCTTCTTTTGCGCTTCCTTTTTATCTATCGTAAGCAATCCCGTTCCATCCGGCTTTCGCGCCTGAATTTCGTGATCGCTCCAAAGTGCCCATAGCACTACACGACGCTCTCCGCGGGCCAAGGTAACAGACGCTGCACCACGACGTCCCTGTTGCTGCTGGGTTAGGCTTTGCGCAGCCTATTACGAGGCCTACACCGAGCTGTTTTAATCCCCTCGTAATTTATATAACGAGTGACCCGTGCTGGGTCAAAACCCCGTTATAATTGTTACAATTTTTCTGATTTATATCTAAGTTAATATCTTTACATTCGTTAGGATAGATTTATCTATTTCTGTTATTTTTACATATGAATTTTTTCTTGGTAATTTTTATATTTTGTAATTAGTTGTTAATTTTTTGCTCAATGTTTTTTCTATTGACTTTACACTCTATTCATTCATATAATTTATTATTATAGTATTTTTATTTGTGCTCTTAATTTTTTTGCTTCTATGATTTTATCTTTAATTAAGTAATGAGTTATGATATTTACTAAGTTTATTGTTGTTTTGCTTTAATATTTGTTTATTACAATAAGTTTAGTTATTTTCTTTTTATTACCTTAATCTTTGTAGTTATTTCAGTATAAGTACGAGTTTGTTTGTTTGTACTTCTATTTTGTCTTTCTACTGTTAATAAATTCATTCAAAATTTTGTTTTTTTCTTGTTTTTTTTATATTTCTCATTTATAGATTATTCTATTGCGCAATAAACTTTTGAGCTTTTTCATTAAGTGTAACTGAATGCATTATATAGTAGCTTTAAAATTAGTGCAATACTTGTATAATCTTGGTAAATTACAAATGTATTATTGAGAAACGAAGTAAGAATCCCAGTATTGCACTTCTCTATAAATTCATTTGCATGATAAAAATTTGTAAACATTACGCAGACCACAGCATCAACTTTTGTATGACACTTGTAATATTTTGTCAGGGAAATCCTGGGCGGCTCTTTACTTGCTGACGCCATGATGACGACTTATGAGTATATTCTTAATTTGAATTTCAGTGCAGCTCTTTAAAAGATGAATTAATAATTAATCTGAATATGTTTTAATTCAGTCTGAGTAATAAGAGAGTTATTTAAAATATTATATGTTAAATTTTTCATTAACCTGTATTTTTAAATAAAAATAAGACATTAGCCATTAAATTCTTTTTTTTACAAAAATATAGCTTGATAATGGGATAGTTAAATCGCATAAGAATATTAATGTATCATTTCTCGACATTTTTTCATCTACAGTATTAATGAAACAATTAATAACCTAAGAAACATTCTTTTGTAACTGTGATTATTTCATTGATTGAATTTTCTATATAATTTCTTTATCATGAAGTAAATAATGATTAGAATAAATTATGTTTTTGTGGTTTTATAAACTGCAAATAATTGATACAGATATTTAGTGCTTACACTAAATATTTTCTACATAATTTAGATGGTTAATATACTAAGCAAATATTGAAGAACATTGAACATAATTAGTTGAATTAAAACTGTAATTAAGTAAAAGCTATCAATAAAATGCACCTTATCAAATAATGCATCGAAAGTTATGTAGGATTAAGTCATATTTTTTATTGCATTTCGTTTGCAATCAAATTACCGTAATTAAATTTTCTTAAAGTTTTAATATATCTTTTAAGTTTTTTAGTACCATAATATCAAAGTAACAATGTTATATTCATTTATTGATCATGTGATCATGAACTATTACTAAATCAATGTATTTTTATGTTTTAGATAAAAATGAACTGGAAGCTGCTCAAAATTTTTTAGAACAAGCAGCTCAAACCAATTTAGTAAGTATGATTCTAATTCACATTAATGTGATAGGAAAAAATTCCTTCATTTGCTAATTATACAATCGATAAAAATAAATATATTTAACCTTGTAACGAATGACTGTTAATTAACTTAAACGCGTTTTCACTAAAACCGTGAGAGGAATTAGCGAACAAAAAAAAGATAGACGTTAACCGTGAGGTAATCAGAAAAAGGGGGTCACGCGGCATAGAAAGTTACTGGATAATTCTTTGCTATTTCGATCATTTGAGATCAAAGTGACTAATTTCTTTCAAACTTGTTACACTTATTACCTATATAAAGATCAATATGTGTGAACAGTTTTAGATCAAAATGTTCATTACGGCCCGAATTATCAAAAGCTGAAAAAAAAATCAGAAATTTTTTATTTGAACTTCAATACCTTGGAAATCATTAAAGTTATCACGATATACGAGGGTGGCCCGATAAGTACTTAGCCTACAAAAGAATAACGAAAATTTTGGAAAAGTAGCGTTTTATTTTTCAACATAGTCAACTTTTAGTTCGATACATTTGGCCCAACGATGCTCCAACTTCTTTAACCCGTCTGAAAAATATGTTTCCTCGAGGTCTGAAAAGTAGGCTTCCGTGGCAGCAATTACCACCTCATTCGACTCAAATTTCTACCCGGCGAGTGACTTTTTTAGGTTTGGAAACAAAAAGAAGTCGCACGGTGCTAAATCTGGAGAATACGGTGGATGGGGCAGCAGTTCGTAGTCTAATTCGACCAATTTGGCCATGGCGATAGGTGTGAGCCGGTGCGTTGTCATGGTTTAAGAGCACTTTTTCTTCGCCAAATGGGGCCGTTTTTTCTGCAATTCGATGTCGAATCGGCCCAATAATTTGGCATAGTACAGCCCTGTGACCGTTTTGCCCCTCTCCAGATAGTCGATGTAGATCACACCTTATGAATCCCAGAAAACGGTGGCCATCACCTTTCCGGCCGATGGGGCAGTCTTCGCCTTCTTCGGAGCACTTTCACCGGGTAAAGTCCACTGTTCCTTGGTCTCTGGTGTATACCAGTGGATCCATGTTTCGTCGACTGTCACGAAACGACGCAGAAACTCCTTCGGATTGCGCTTAAACAGCGTCAGACATTGCTCTGAAGTTGTCTCACGGTTGCGCTTGTTGTCCGGAGTGAGCAAACGTGGCACCCATCGCGCCGACAGCCTTCTCATGCCCAAAATTTCATGCAGAACATGACCCACGCGGTCATTTGAGATGCCTACGATCTTAGCTATCTCGCGCACCTTCAATCGTCGATCTGCCAATACGAGATCGTGAATTTTTGTCACGTTATCCTCCGTGGTAGCCATTTTCGGAACACCTGGACGTGGTTCTTCAAAAATCGTCGTGCGACCGCGTTGAAACTCGTTAAACCAATTTTTGACGGTCGCCATCGAAGGAGAAGAGTCACCGTACACAGCATCCAAGCGCTTTTTGATTTCGCTGCGCCATTTCTCTTCCAAAAACAAGAATCGAATCACCGACCGATACTGCTTTTCTTCCATTATTTAAAAATCAACGGTCACACTTGCTTTCACACGCTCTCAAAAATAAACTACAACTCCGATCCAGCTGAAATCTTCGACAGTAACAATCGACAAGGTTGTACTACGTGATAGAATATTTCTTTTGCGAGAGTGGCGCCATCGGGTGGTGAGGCTAAGTACTTATCGGACCACCCTCTTATTAAAGTAAAATTACCATAAGACTTGTACGTTAATAATATAACTAGTAAAAGATCCAGTTATTTATTTATCACAAAATTATTGATAATTTTTTGAAAAAATTTGCTTTAACTAAATAAGTCCGAAGTTTTTTTAAAAACCCTAGCACCTTTGGTTTCTTTGTCCTTTTTTACATAAAAATCCGTTACATACAAATATCTATAGTTCAAGTTATCGCAATGAGCATTGAAAAAAAGTGCGATGGAATGCAATGTTGGTGCACTGAACTACACTAACCTTTTTCGTCAGCGTAGGTATTATTTTTATCATGTAAATACAATGCATGGGTTATGAGCTGATAAATTTTATTTGTAGTCTACATATAAAAATTAGTTGATTTTCTAAAGAAACAAATGAATATATTTTACAATTTACCTTCAACAACGCACTTACTCTTCTCGTTTAGTTAGGGTTGAGACCGATGCATATTTACATAATGGCCACAATAAAAGTATTTTTAATTTATAAAATTTTACGAAATTTGATAAATTTTATGGAATAATAGGAATTTGATAGTATGAAATAGTATAGTATTCAATAGCGTGGAAGCAATAAAGTTAGCAAACATGCTGTAAATCAAATAAATTAATAACAAAAATATAACCTCAGATAATGAGAAAAGTCGACTCTTATTACTTATACTTATTGATGTGTTGGATAAAGTCCATCAGTTGAATTTATTATTTTTCATTTTTTTTTTGTTCAGCTGGCTCTAAAACTCCCTTTATTAGTAATTGCGCCTTAGCTTACTTATTTTTAATGTTGTGGATTTTTCTTCGAGGGATTGGCGGAATATACTATTTAGTATAAAATACTATAAACGGTAATTATAAAATGAGAATACGTGGAACTGCCGGTTGCACTTATGTGGTTAGATATTTATTTTTGAAAAAACAAAATGACAGAAAGTATTTCAGATAATGATCATTGGATTTTTTAACGACAATGGGTCGAAGAATAACAAAACAATATAAAGCTTTACAAAATCTTTGAGATCACTCGAACTCCGAAAAAAGAATTTTTCGCTCTTTTCGAATACCGCACAACTGTGTATCCTTTCCGTCTTGACCACGAGAACTACAATTGCACAACCGTGGCAATAATGCATATGATTAACACATGAAAACTCAGGTTGACGGTATCCGCAGAACATGCACTCGCTGCGAATTTAAGGGTAATGAAAGAGAAAGAAAAACCAAGCTCACAATGCCGTTATTGCCGTGGTCGCTCCTTATGCTGTTGTCGATGCTGATATTGTTATTGATGTTTAAAAATAAGAATTCTTATTTGGAAAAAAAGTTGAACTTGAAATACCTTGACTATAATCTCTAACAAGGAAGGTACACCAAGTGTAAATAACCAATTTCGATGAAACTTTTATATGTGATTGAGGACTGAAAAATAGTCGACACGTATGTTTTTATGTGCTAATACGTGGTATAAAGGGGTGAAAACTACCCCTAAGGTTCACCCCCGAAAACCGTTTTTTGATATATCTCTTCTTCTGAATGAGATATTCTCTTGGAATCAATTGTATATTCATTGTTACTCAATAACAGTGTCATGTAGCGTACCAAAGCTCCAGAGGGTTGCAATCCTTACTTTTTATAAGGATGAAAGTGATTTTTTTACCTAAAGTTTTGTCTGCCAATATTGTGAATTTAATTTAATCCTCTTCTAACTTTTTTTATTTAGAAGGGCATTAATAATGAAGGTTGACGTGTTTTTTATTTTTTTCTAATTTTAGGTTAAACTACCCTTAAATTAATTTTTTTATTTTCATTGAAACTAAGCGCTTTGAGTTAACTGTATAAATGAAATTGATGTAACTAACATTGAATCTGTTCAATATACTCTGCACGACTAACAAAAAGCCAGAAGTATTTATTCGTGTGGCGAAGAAACCATTTAAGGGGTGGAAGCTACTCATCACCCCCAAGAACCGTTCTTTCAGTATATATCTCCTTTTCTATAAGACATTTTTTCTTTGAACAAACTGAGAATTATTTGTTATCATGTCACAATGTTATAAGTTATACCACGGATCCAGGGGGTTGCACCTCTAATTTTTCACAAGGATGAAAGTATTTTTTTTAATTTTATTCTTGCAATCAAAATGAAACTTCTTTTATTCGGAAGGACATTGAAAACTACAGGTAATGTATTTCGAATTTTCTTTTTAAATTATATATAAGAGGATAAGCCCTTCTTCAGTTAAATATATAGTTTCCTTTTAACAAATAGCTATGATAACTGCTTTAAATGAAATTTCATTCTAAAGAAGGTCTAAAATAATGAGAAATGTGTAACGGAGAATTAGCGACCGTTCCCGTCTGGGTTGCTTGCGGCCGTCCGCACAAATTATTTATTCCGGGATTCGGGCAGCAAAAGACGTTCTGACGACTGAATAACGCGTCGAGCATAAACACGTTAAGCGCACAGATTCGAAATCGGGGTGAGGAGTGATACAGCGGCGAATAAACACAACAGCGGATTAACACACAAATCCTTTAATCGTCAACAATAGGTTACAATACGGCTATCTCGCGCTTATATCCTACGAGCGACACAATAACAAACGCGAACGCGAAGGTGAATCGGTGGCTGGTCAGCCTGCCGATTCCCTTATTAGAACTAAATGTTACAATAAATGCCCGAAAAACACTTTTCGCCATTAACCCTTTGCGGCACAGTGGGAACACGTATTCCCACCTTTTTTCATAGCATTTTTTGCAAATTTAGAATAGTTTTTGATGAATTTACCCTGAGTTTTTTGTTGTTTTACGATTATAGGATGATATACAATTGAAATTTACGTCAATTCGTGCCACAACTTTTATTAATTTGTTAATATTGTTCAACAAAGACGAAAAAACAGCCCTATTTATAAACAAAATTCATTATTTAAGAAACTTTCAGTTATAATTTTACAAAAATTTATACAAAGGAGTTTTTGGGATCGCTAATATCGATTCTGAATCCAGAATTTCGAAATTCAAAATGGTTAATCCAAGATCAGATTGATTTTTTTTTTGTATTTTTGTTTTTTTTCACTTTTATATTTTTATCTTTTCACCTTCAATTGTCGCTTTCTTCCTTTTTTAGTTGGAATTTTGTGAGAAACCAATCGATCCACTAAAAGTAGTCTGAACTTCTTCAATGTTATATGATTATCAGCGTTTATTTTTGAAAATATGATGAATGAATTTGTAATAGTTAGATCAATGAAATGCCAGAATAATCTC